CCCCATTTGTGTTCGCGGTTTACTCACTGATATATAATTCAGCTAATATGTCAAATGAATCAATGACAACTGACACATTGAAGTGTTTGATAGGCATTTGTTAGTAGTTGACGGATGACAAAGTAGACACAACTTATGAATAACATTGAATGAAAAAAGTAGTTAATGGGCCAACACTTCAAGTAATTTTACACATTATGGTTGTGTGTTTTACCTATTATATTTAAGTCGGGGTTCCTGGAAAACGGACGAAATATTTGAAAGGATCTGACACTTCCACAAATCATTGGCATTTTTTAAAACAACAGGTATATTCAGTGAACATGGGTTATATTAACAGCGAGCCATGTACACTCCATAAGCGGATTCTGCATACCTTCTCTCACATACTTCTTGGTTGATTTAGGGGCGGTCGGGTAGCCAAGTGGTTAAAGCGTTCGCTCGTCACGCCGAAGACCCGGGTTCGATTCCCGACATGGGTACAATGTGTGAAGCCCATTTCTGGTGTCCCCCGCCGTGATATTGCTGGAATATTGCTAAAAGCGGCGTAAAACCAAAATCACTCACTCACTCTTGGTTGATATACTATCTTGATTTACACATACTATCTATGATCAATAATCTTACCATAATTGTCAAAGAAATATACGGTGTACTGTTAGCTTCGGTTGTTTTTTCAGTTTATTTTGAATACGGTTAGTGGGAAGGACACACACACCTATTCGCGAACACCTGCTATCATGACTATTTGATAGTGATTCATAAACACATACCCATCATATAGACGGACTTGTCCAATCGACTCTGTTACAGGCAGAGATGTCTCATAAATGTGGGAAGGTCTTGTTGCTGTTATTTTGTAATGAGAGAAGGAGTCTGTGTGGTAGCATACCTTGTCGACAGAGAGCGATTGAGTTGTGTGTGAGGTCGCTTTGAACGAGGTGCATATCGAACACCAATGATCATGTTATTTTATCCAAACCAACGATCATCAACTCTGCGTATCGAATTCCTGCACTGACCAAGAATCAGTTAAGATAAAAACAGAAATTATTAACATTGAAATTGACCTTATCCTTCCCTCTAAAAATACATATCTACAAACAAAAGAACATAACCTCTAAACATAAAATTCGTTTGCCCTCCTATGTGGGCAGATGTGAATTCGGTTATAATCAGATCAGGTTTGTTGAGGATGAAGGTAGGTTGGTACACAGAAATGGAACACAATCCTTCACATCGACTTGAAACGCAATACCTTTATTGTCATTGACATTTAACACATATAATAATGGTTGTGACATTTAGAAATAACTGGAACCATCTCATTTGCCCACTGGATCATGACCTCCAGCTTCAGTGTTGACTCATATGTGATGGTTGGCATTGTTTTATGCATTTATTATCAATAATGATTTTTCTTGCAAGAGTTTCAACGGGTTTTTTTTCACCCCGATTATATGTGTGTGTTTGTAGATTCACGCTGAACTCAATGGTCAAGCCATATCAAAGTTGCCACAAATCTTTGCCACAAACCATGGTTGATATTCTGAGAAAGGTACATTTAACCACGTTCTTCCCACTAGCTGGGGACCAATTCAAATCCTTTCTTTCTCGACAGCAAACGAGACATGTACGATTATGCTTGTTTGAATTTGCCAAAAAAGTGGAGACTAAGCTTGGTTGGTTTGTTGTTTAACGCCGCACTCAGCAATATTCCAGCTATATGACGGCGGTCTGTAAATAATCGAGTCTGGACCAGACAATCTAGTGATTGATATGATGAGCATCGATCTACGCAACTGGGATCATGATCAATGACATGCATCAACCAGGTCAGCGAGCCTGACCACCCGATCCCGTTAGTCGCCTTTTACGACAAGCATAGTCGCCTTTTAGACAAGCATGGGTTGCTGAAGACCTATTCTACTCCGGATCTTCACGGGTCATTAACTTTAAGGACATGAAATGGTAATCTACATCCAAGGGCTTGAAAATACATGAACCCCTTTTCAATTGATTTATGTTGATGGTTATGTTTAGTTTTACTGCATCATCAAATTTTGGAATCAGGAATTTTTATTTTAATTCTTTTAAAAGTGATTCTAGAATTCTTAGACTTTAGTTTTCATTGCACGAAAACTGATGAGGAAGGAAACCTGATTACTGTTGAACTCTATGGGCAAACTTCCTAACATTAGAATATGTGAAAATCTCTATATACCAATTCGTTCACCCAATAGCGATCATGTATTAGTGAGTGGGATGTAGAACAAGACAATGTTATAGATACCTACCGTTATTTAAGAAATAAACGACGAGTCGAATTTGTTTATCGTACAATGAAACACTGCAGGGAAAATATATCGTGAGTTGTTGATTTCTTATATGAGACATTAACATTACGCACATCCTAGTTAAGGGTGTTTATACAACGTACAAGCTTTGAACATATTTACCCGCATTTTAATAATGATGACTACCTGAATACTATCCGACCTCGGAACTGTCGGACAAGTCCATTTGGTGGGTTAAGTTTGGTATTTCCAGCATATTCTCATGATCCTCGCGTCGATTATCTGTATTTGTTCTCCTAATAATGATTGTCATATCTCTCCCACTTGATGCGATCGTTCGGCCACTGCGATCATGGCGAGAGCATATCTCCAGAAATGACGTCATGATAGATCAATGTTTTATCGTTAAATAAACCACGCTCCGTTCTTCATTGTTCATTCCGATGTATCGCGTAGAGTATAAAACGAAAATCAGAGTCCAGAGTTAACGCTCGCAATAAAGTTAAAGCTACAAATACTTATGCTGTATCCGTCCCTTTTGATTCCTTTGGTGTTGATGATTGGACGAAACAAGAAATTCAGGGAATCGTCACGAAGAATGATGACAGACAATACGTCCCACCACCTTGGCTCTCAATTGCTTATATTTTACCAATTATATTGGGAGGGCGTTGTTTGATTGGCGTGGAAGCTCTTCCTGAAAGAAATTGAGATGTGTATACTTGCACACTTTTATTTATCTGAAGATCCTATTTTGAAGAATGTTAAGACTCATGATGAAAACAAGGCATTCCACAGTTTTCGGAAACGAGCAAAGAATGTTTGATTTAATCTCAATGTCAGTGTTGATTTTGTTGATGATTCTGTACTGCTAGACGGCACAGAAAGGAGTGTCAACAAAGCGATGGATCTGCTCAGGCTCGGTTTGTCCAGGCATTGCTCCCTGAACGACCACTTCTTCTAGTTTAAGTGCAGTGTGTTGAGAGGATCAGCAACCCTGCAGAGACCTTCGCTTGGATGAGGTCGGCTGGCCTGAAAAGTGTTTCAGAAGGTTTTCTGTTTGCTGCTCAGGACCAATCACTCCCCACTCGAAACCGTCAATGTGTGATTTTGCATCAAAATGTTCATATGAAATATACGTTATGCAACGCATTTAATAACACTGCCAGGCACATTGTCAGTGGATGCCCATTATCTGTTGTCTGTGGAGGAGTCCCATTCGCTCTCAGGGCAGTGTGTAGAGGGGCCAAGGCCCCTGAGCTGATGATAAGCCTAACAAGCCTGACTGTTCCAAGATCACCAAACCCTCTTTGCCGCATATATTTATTTTAATCTGTAAACTATCATAATAATATCACTACTAATAAAAATGTTTATTTCGACGTCACACGATAAATCAGTAAAAAGACATAAAATGTATTCATATATAATCATCCGACCATTACAGGGGTACATTAATACATTAACTGCGTATTATACCATTTTCATTAGAGTATATGATCACATTTGATATTTCATTTTTCTAAAATAGTGTTACCCAATATGATCTGTAACATACGACAAACTAACAACGCCTTCCGCATGTAAGGAATCTCACTTGACGAGAATTCTATACCTAGATCATGTTCAGATGCTAATCTACCACTGATGGTGTGACGGGAGGAATCATTGCACCTGGTATCTACTCAGTTTCCTTTTTTTGTATATTTACATCTTTGTTTCTGGGGATAAGATTGAAAAACCAAACCAACAATACATGACCTCAATCAAAATCGGCCAGTACCACCTGAAGAGAGGCGTTTCTGCTGACGGACGAAAGTTCCGATTTTATTGTATATATCTATAACATTTATTTTAGCTCTCGTTGAATGTGTCCGTCGGTTTGTCTCGCAAGCCGTTCCATCGACCATGGTGTAGTCATAAACTGTTTGGAGTGTAGATCCTTTTTCTACTATCATCCATTTTTGTTTAGTTTCGTGGCGGAATCTGCCGTTCGCATTCGCCCCATAGTAAATCTATTTCTCTCGTTGACATTCCTTTATTTATATATTTATCCATGCCAGGTGGGGCTGTTCTGTTAACAGATTGTGGCCCACTGTGCGCTCACGGGTGGGCACGAACCAGTCAAGAAATCTGGGATATCATCCTGGTACCCACGGGAAAACACGAATAACGGAGAATTGTCAGAGAGCAATGCCCCTTTAAGTTTGAAGTGTTCCAGTCTTCTGAGTGTTCAGCTTGCTGACATGCCCGGACCTCTTGACATTCAATTGCAATAGTATTACCCAGATGAATCGCCAATCTATATCACATGCACTTCAATTGAGGAAATCAGAAGAAGCTGAAATTGATCCAGACCTACCAATATCAGAAATGTCTTCTCAAAGATTACATTCTTCCATTAGGTAGTTTTGAGATCAAATCATTCATCATTTTTCACTGACTCACTCGTTCACACTGAGCAGTGGGCGAGACTCATCCGGGGCAAGGCGCAGGGGTTACGATTGATAAAAGGATTTATTGACGCGGAGACGGGGAGTTAATTTGCAGTAGATATCGCCGTTCTCTGCAGCGTTATTAAGATTCGATTGGCTTTCGTCTGACAGCCAGACAGAAAGATGAAGTTTGTGCCATCCATGTTGTGTACGTCCCATCGGATATGTTTTGTGGGTAATGAGAGAGAGGTTGTGAATAAAATGGGCGTTATGTAGACAGGGTGATGCGGTGAACACAAGGTGCTGTGGTGAACACGGGGTGATGTGGTGAACACGGGGTGATGTGGTGAACACGGGGTGGGGTTGTGAACACGCGGTGGTGTGGTGAACACGGGGTGATGTGGTGAATACGAGGTGGTGTGGTGAACACGGGGTGATCTGGTGAACACGTGGTGGTGTGGTGAACACGTGGTGGTGTGGTGAACACGGGGTGATGTGGTGAACACGTGGTGGTGTGGTGAACATGGGGTGGTGTGGTGAACACGGAGTGGTGTGCCGAACACGTGGTGGTGTGTTGAACACGCGGTGGTGTGGTGAACACGGGGTGGGATGGTGAACACGTGGTGGTGTGGTGAACACGGGATGGAATGATGAATACGAGGTGGGATGGTTAACACAAGGTGGTGTGGTGAAACGAAGTGGTGTGGTGAAAACGTGGTCGTGTAGTGAACACGGGGTGGGCTGGTAAACAGGGGGTGGGGTGGTTATCAAGGGGTGGGGTGGTGAACACGGGTAGTGCGGTGAACACAGGGTGGGTTGTTGAACACGGGACGATGTGGTGAATACAGGGTGATATGGTGAACACAGGGTGGTGTGGTGAACACGTGGTGATGTGGTGAACATGTGGTGGTGTGGTGAACACGGGGTGGTGTGGTGAACACGTGGTGGTGTGGTGAACACGTGGTGGTGTGTTGAACACGCGGTGGTGTGGTGAACACGGGGTGGGATGGTGAACACGTGGTGGTGTGGTGAACACGGGATGGAATGATGAATACGAGGTGGGATGGTTAACACAAGGTGGTGTGGTGAAACGAAGTGGTGTGGTGAAAACGTGGTCGTGTAGTGAACACGGGGTGGGCTGGTAAACAGGGGGTGGGGTGGTTATCAAGGGGTGGGGTGGTGAACACGGGGTAGTGCGGTGAACACAGGGTGGGTTGTTGAACACGGGGTGATGTGGTGAATACAGGGTGATATGGTGAACACAGGGTGGTGTTGTGAACACGTGGTGATGTGGTGAACATGTGGTGGTGTGGTGAACACGGGGTGGTGTGGTGAACACGTGGTGGTGTGGTGAACACAGAGTGATGTGGTGAACACGTGGAGGTGTGGTGAACACGTGGTGGTATGGTGAACACGTGGTGGGGTGGTGAACACAGGGTGGGTTGTTGAACACGGGGTGGTGTGGTGAAGACAGGGTGGTGTGGTGAACACGTGGTGGTGTGGTGAACATGTGGTGGTGTGGTGAACATGGGGTGATGTGGTGAACACGGGGTGGTGCGGTGAACACGGGAAGGTGTGGTGAAGGCCGGATGGATGTGGTGAACACGGGATGGTGTGGTGAACACGGGATGCTGTGGTGAACACAGGGTGGTGTGGTGAGCACTGGGTGGTTTGGTGAACACGTGGTTGATGTGGCGAATGCAGGGTGGATGTGGTGAAGACCGGGAGAATGTGGGGAAGGCCGGGTGGATGTCTGGAAGGCCGGGTGGATGTGGTGAATGCAGGGCGGATGTAGTGAAGGCCGGTTGGATGTAGTGGACGAGTGTGGATGTGGTGAAGGCCGGGTGGATGTGGGGAAGACCGGGTGGGTGTAGTGAAGGCTGGTAGGGTGAAGTGGACCAGGGTGGATGTGGTGAAGGCCGGGAGGATGTGGGGAAGCCCGGATGGATGTGGTGAAGGCTGGTAGAATGTAGTGGAACCAGGGTGGATGTGGTTGAGTCCGTGAGGATGTGGGGAAGGCTGGGTAGATGTGGTGAAGGCTGGTAGAATGTAGTGGACCAGGGTGGATGTGGTGAAGGCCGAGAGGATGTGGGGAAGGCCTGGGTAGATGTGGTGAAGGCTGGTAGAATGTAGTGGATGCCGGGAGGATGTGGGGAAGGCCGGGTGGATGTGGTGAAGGCCGGGAGGATGTGGGGAAGGCCGGGTGGATGTGGTGAATGCAGGGCGGATGTAGTGAAGGCTGGTAGGATGTAGTGGACGAGGGTGGATGTGGGGAATGCCGGATGGATGTGATGAAGGCTGGTAGAATGTAGTGGACCAGGGTGGATGTGGTGAAGGCCGAGAGGATGTGGGGAAGGCCTGGGTAGATGTGGTGAAGGCTGGTAGAATGTAGTGGATGCCGGGAGGATGTGGGGAAGGCCGGGTGGATGTGGTGAAGGCCGGGAGGGTGTGGGGAAGGCCGGATTGGTGTGGTGAAGGTTGGTAGGATGTAGTGGACGAGGGTGGATGTGGTGAAGGCCGGGTGGATGTGGGGACGACCGGGTGGATGTGGTGAAGATCGGGTGGATGTAGTGAAGGCTGGTAGTAAGTAGTGGACCAGTGTGGATGTGGTGACGGCCGGGTGGATGTGGGTAAGGCCGGATGGATGTGGTGAAGGCCGGGAGGATGTGGGGGAAGGCCGGGAGGATGTGGGGAAGGCCGGGTGGATGTGGTGAATGCAGGGCGGATGTAGTGAAGGCTGGTAGGATGTAGTGGACCAGGGTGGATGTGGTGAAGACCGGGTGGATGTAGTTAAGGCTGGCAGGATGTAGTGGACCAGTGTGGATGTGGTGAAGGCCGGGTGGATGTGGGTAAGGCCGGATGGATGTGGTGAAGGCCGGGAGGATGACGGGGAAGGCCGGGAGGATGTGGGGAAGGCCGGGTGGATGTGGTGAATGCAGGGCGGATGTAGTGAAGGCTGGTAGGATGTAGTGGACCAGGGTGGATGTGGTGAAGACCGGGTGGATGTAGTGAAGGCTGGTAGGAAGTCTTTGATCAGGGTGGATGTGGTGAAGGACGGGTGGATGTGGGTAAAGCCGGATGGATGTGGTGAAGGCCGGGAGGATGTGGGGAAGGCGGGGTGGATGTGGGGAAGGCCGGGTTGATGTGCTGAATGCAGGGCGGATGTAGTGAAGGCTGGTAGGATGTAGTGGACCAGGGTGGATGTGGTGAAGACCGGGTGGATGTAGTAAAGGCTGGTAGGATGTAGTGGACCAGGGTGGATGTGGTGAAGACCGGGTGGATGTAGTGAAGGCCGGGTAGATGTAGTGAAGACCGGGTGGATGTAGTGGACCAGGGTGGATGTGGTGAAGGCCGGGTGGATGTGGGGAAGGCCGGATGGATGTGGTGAAGGCCGGGTGGATGTCTGGATGGCCGGGTGGATGTGGTGAATGCAGGGCGGATGTAGTGAAGGCCGGTTGGATGTAGTGGATGAGTGTGGATGTGGTGAAGGCCGGGTGGATGTGGTGAAGACCGGGTGGATGTGGGGAAGACCGGGGGGTGTAGTGAAGGCTGGTAAGGTGTAGTGGACCAGGGTGGATGTAGTGAAGGCCGGGTGGGTGTGGGGAAGGCCCGGATGGATGTGATGAAGGCTGGTAGAATGTAGTGGACCAGGGTGGATGTGGTGAAGGCCTGATGGATGTGATGAAGGCCGGGTGGGTGTGGGGAAGGCCCGGATGGATGTGGTGAAGGCTGGTAGAATGTAGTGGACCAGGGTGGATGTGGTGAAGGCCGAGAGGATGTGGTGAAGGCCGGGTAGATGTGGTGAAGGCTGGTAGAATGTAGTGAAGGCCGGGAGGATGTGGGGAAGGCCGGGTGGATGTGGTGAAGGCCGGGTGGATGTGGGGAAGGCAGGACAGAAAGGACGGACTCCGCCTTCCATTGAGCGCAACATTTATTTCACATTGTACCAATGATATAAAACGATCAGATGGGCACTGCTCTGGGTCCTTAATGCTCACATCAGTCGTTTCTTGATATACAAAACCATATGGTAATGATGCACTTATTGTTTTTTCGTGTGTAGTATTTCTTTCGGGGCAGTTTAAGATTCAGTGAAAGTCCCTTGTCTCCTATAATCAGCTCATACTACCGTTAATGAATGAAGGGAAAATTAGATAGCGCGACACATGATGGAACGATGCTACTGTGGTGTCACAAAACGTGGCTTGGCGAGGACGTTGTTGATTGTATGTGACAGTAACCTACTGATGCTTCGCAAGTAGTTGAGGGAGGGTCTGCAATGCCTGGGAATGAAACATTTTGGAGAATATTTTGTGTTCAAAGACCAAAACCATATTTCGATATTTCCCCATACCCACGACCAGATCTTAAGCCAGGCCGGGTGGATGTGGTGAAGGCAGTGTTGCTGTGGTGAAGGCAGTGTTGCTGTGGTGAAGGCAGTGTTGCTGTGGTGTAGGCAGTGTGGATGTGGTGAAGGCAGTGTTGCTGTGGTGAAGGCAGTGTTGCTGTGGTGAAGGCAGTGTTGCTGTGGTGAAGGCAGTGTGGATGTGGTGAAGGCAGTGTGGATGTGGTGAAGGCAGTGTGGATGTGGTGAAGGCAGTGTGGATGTGGTGAAGTCCGGGTGGATGTGGTGAAGTCAGTGTGGATGTGGTGAAGGCAGTGTGGCTGTGGTGAAGGCAGTGTGGATGTGGTGAAGGCAGTGTGGATGTGGTGAAGGCAGTGTGGATGTGGTGAAGGCAGTGTGGATGTGGTGAAGGCAGTGTGGATGTGCTGAAGGCAGTGTGGATGTGGTGAAGGCAGTGTGGATGTGGTGAAGGCAGTGTGGATGTGGTGAAGGCAGTGTGGATGTGGTGAAGGCAGTGTGGATGTGGTGAAGGCAGTGTGGATGTGGTGAAGTCAGTGTGGATGTGCTGAAGGCAGTGTGGATGTGGTGAAGGCAGTGTGGATGTGGTGAAGGCAGTGTGGATGTGGTGAAGGCAGTGTGGTTGTGGTGAAGGCAGTGTGGATGTGCTGAAGGCAGTGTGGATGTGGTGAAGGCAGTGTGGATGTGCTGAAGGCAGTGTGGATGTGGTGAAGGCAGTGTGGATGTGGTGAAGGCCGGGTGGATGTGGTGAAGTCAGTGTGGATATGATGAAGGCAGTGTGGATGTGGTGAAGTCAGTGTGGATGTGGTGAAGGCAGTGTGGATGTGGTGAAGGCAGTGTGGATGTGGTGAAGGCAGTGTGGATGTGGTGAAGGCAGTGTGGATGTGGTGAAGGCAGTGTGGATGTGGTGAAGGCAGTGTGGATGTGGTGAAGGCAGTGTGGATGTGGTGAAGGCAGTGTGGATGTGGTGAAGGCAGTGTGGATGTGGTGAAGGCAGTGTGGATGTGGTGAAGGCAGTGTGGATGTGGTGAAGGCAGTGTGGATGTGGTGAAGTCAGTGTGGATGTGGTGAAGGCAGTGTGGATGTGGTGAAGGCAGTGTGGATGTGCTGAAGGCAGTGTGGATGTGGTGAAGGCAGTGTGGATGTGGTGAAGGCAGTGTGGATGTGCTGAAGGCAGTGTGGATGTGCTGAAGGCAGTGTGGATGTGGTGAAGGCAGTGTGGATGTGGTGAAGGCAGTGTGGATGTGGTGAAGGCAGTGTGGATGTGGTGAAGGCCGGGTGGATGTGGTGAAGTCAGTGTGGATATGATGAAGGCAGTGTGGATGTGGTGAAGTCAGTGTGGATGTGGTGAAGGCAGTGTGGATGTGGTGAAGGCCGGGTGGATGTGGTGAAGGCCGGGTGGATGTCGTGAAGGCAGTGTGGATGTGGTGAAGGCAGTGTGGATGTTGTGAAGTCAGTGTGGATGTGGTGAAGGCCGGGTGGATGTGGTGAAGGCAGTGTGGATGTGGTGAAGGCAGTGTGGATATGGTGAAGGCAGTGTGGATGTGGTGAAGGCAGTGTGGATGTGGTGAAGGCAGTGTGGATGTGGTGAAGGCAGTGTGGATGTGGTGAAGGCAGTGTGGATGTGGTGAAGGCCGGGTGGATGTGGTGAAGGCAGTGTGGATGTGGTGAAGGCAGTGTGGATGTGGTGAAGGCAGTGTGGATGTGGTGAAGGCAGTGTGGATGTGGTGAAGGCCGGGTGGATGTGGTGAAGGCCGGGTGGATGTGGTGAAGGCCGGGTGGATGTGGTGAATGCAGGGCGGATGAAGTGAAGGCCGGGTGGATGTGGTGAAGGCAGTGTGGATGTGGTGAAGGCAGTGTGGATGTGGTGAATGCAGTGTGGATGTGGTGAAGGCAGTGTGGATGTGGTGAAGGCCGGGTGGATGTGGTGAAGGCCGGGTGGATGTGGTGAAGGCCGGGTGGATGTGGTGAATGCAGGGCGGATGTAGTGAAGGCCGGGTGGTTGTGTTGAAGGCCGGGTGGATGTGGTGAATGCAGGGCGGATGTAGTGAAGGCCGGGTGGATGTGTTGAAGGCCGGGTGGATGTGGTGAATGCAGGGCGGATGTAGTGAAGGCCGGGTGGATGTGTTGAAGGCCGGGTGGATGTGGTGAATGCAGGGCGGATGTAGTGAAGGCCGGGTGGATGTGTTGAAGGCCGGGTGGATGTGGTGAATGCAGGGCGGATGTAGTGAAGGCCGGGTGGATGTGTTGAAGGCCGGGTGGATGTGGTGAATGCAGGGCGGATGTAGTGAAGGCCGGGTGGATGTGTTGAAGGCCGGGTGGACAGATCTGAAGCCAGAACCAGATCTTCAGAACGTTAATACGCCTATGCTGCCCACTGCTCACACTGAAACACATGCTAGGTATTGTGGCTACTTTGACAAGTGGCTTTGGTCGATATATGCCTCTATTCGCCGAGCAGTGAATGGGCTCCCTGTAGGACGAGATGGTCGAGTCAATGTTAACGTTCCAGCGCCTCATACTTGGGGTGTATACTCACCGGGAAGATGAGACTGACATTCGGGGTAATAAAACTGTATCTAGTGTGCGAATTATAGATATACTAATTTTTTATCAGTTTTATTATGTCCTTGTACTTCATAACAGGTAAATAGTAGAAATTGCTGAGGCATTGTACTGTAAAACTGTATCTTGTGTGCGCATTATAGATATACTAATTTTTATCAGTATCATTATGTCCTTGTACTTCATAACGGGTTTATAGTAGAAATTGCTGAGGTATTGTACTGTAAAACTGTATCTTGTGTGCGCATTATAGATATACTAATTTTTATCAGTTTTATTATGTCATTGTAATTCAAAACAGGTTGATAGTAAAAATTGCTGAGGCATTGTCTGAAATATTGTCATAGTTATTACCTGTTGTAATACGAGGATGAGTATTTATTGACAATCTGTGCAGACGCCATTAATGTTCGGACTAAAGCTATTGAGGTCCTGAGGGGAAATGAGGAAATATTTCCCCCGTCGTGGAACGACTAAACAGGTAACTGAGACGACCATCCGATTTATATAGTCGCCTCTTACGGGTGACCGAGACTGACCACCCGATCCACGCCTCTTACGGGTGATCAAGACTGACCAACCGATCCACGCCTCTTACGGGTGATCAAGACTGACCAACCGATCCACGCCTCTTACGGGTGACCGAGACTGACCACCCGATCCACGCCTCTTACGGGTGATCAAGACTGACCAACCGATCCACGCCTCTTACGGGTGACCGAGACTGACCACCCGATCCACGCCTCTTACGGGTAACCGGGATTGACCACCCGATCCACGCTCTAACAGGTGACCGAAACTAACCATCCGATTTGTAAAGTAGCCTCTTACAGCAGACCGAGAATGACCATCCGATCCACGCCTCTTACAGGTGAACGAGACTGACCACCCGATCCACGGCTCTAAAAGACAACTGAGACTGACCACCCGACCCACGCCTCTTACAGGTAACCGAGACTGACCAACCGAACCATGCCTGTTACAGATGACCGAGACTGACCACCCGATGTTCAAGTCGCCTCTTACGGGTGACCGAGACTTAAACCCGATCTATAGTGTGGCCTCTTACAGGTGACCGAGACTGACCAACCGATCCACGCCTCTTACAGGTAACCGAGACTGACCAACCGATCCACGGCTCTAACAGGCAACTGAGACTGACCACCCGATGTTCAAGTCGCCTCTTATAGGTGACCGAGACTTAAACCCCATCTGTAGTGTCGCCTCTTACAGGTAACCGAGACTGACCAACCGATTCCCGTCTCTTAGAGGTAAGCGAGACTGAACACCCGATCCACGCCGTTTACAGGCGACCGAGACTGACCACCCGATCCACGACTCGTACAGGTAAGCGAGACTGACCACCCGATCCACGCCTCTTACAGTGACCGAGACTGACCAACCGATCCACGACTCTTACAGGTAAGCGAGACTGACCAACCGATCCACGACTCTTACAGGCGACCGAGACTGACCACCCGATCCACGCCTCTTACAGGTGACCGAGACTGACCACCTGATCCACGCCTCTTACAGGTAGCCGATACTGGCCGACCGAGCTGATCAGTCTCCTCTGACGACAAAAATAAATTTCTGGCCAGGGGTCCTATTCTAGCCCTATATTTCGTAACTAGTTCCCTTCTCAACCCCAACTGCCATATTTTTTCTGATACATCATACAGCGATGGCTGTTCTCTTGTTCTATAGTGTCTGTATCATTATCGCAGCTCGTACAAGGCATTACTGAAAACACGGTCGCTTTTGTTTGTAAATTAACGATCTCTGCTGTCTTATCGTGTCTACATCAAAGGACGCACAGAATCCAATTGCCTGATTTTAAACGACATATGTTTGTTTTTTAAATGTCCACCTATCGGGTTGGAGAAACATGAAAGACATTGATAAAGTTTAATGCTTCTTTTGATATAAAAAAATAGGTAACTTTAATTAAATACCATGATAGATTACGAGTTTACGATGTTTTTGTATTT